CGAGCTCCTATCTCAGGACTGCCCTGGCTTCAGAGACTCTAGTGTTCAAGGAGAGGGGTTCAGTGAAGCGAGGTTAACTAAAACCAACAAAAAACCAAACTCGGTGCTGTCAAGTTGATTCCGACTCATAGTGACACTATAGGACAGAGTAGAACTGCCCCATAGGGTTTCCAAGGAGTGCCTGGTGTATTTGAGCTGCTGACCTTTTGGTTAGCAGCTGAACTCTTAACCACTATGCCATCAGGGTTTCTGAAGTGAAGTTAGTAGTTTGCAAATAGTTGAAGGGGTAAAGCTGCCTGTGAAGCAAATGAAACGTACCAGTTGGCAAAGAGGTGGAGAGAGGGGTCTGCAAAGCTTAAGCTGGCACTGAACAGGTGTAGGGGTGGTCTTCAGAGTCACAGAAAGAAGAGACTTTCTTTTTTTTTTTAATTTAATTTTTTTTATTGCACTTTAGATGAAGTTTTACAGAACAAATAGTTTCTCTTTAAACAGTTACTATACATATTGTTCTATGACAATGGTTAACAACCCCGTGACATGTCAACACTGTCCCTTCTCAACCTTGGGTTCCCAGAAAGAAGAGACTTTTCTTGGGACTGGCCAAGAGCCTGCCACTGCGTGTGTGCCTTCTTGAGGCTGCCTATAGTTCAGGAGAAACAGGATGGAGAGTTCTCCTCCCAGACTAAGCCTCCTGTTCATGGGAGACATCTGCCAGCTTCAGGAAGACAGCAGCTGTCTGACGTCCATGATGAGGGCAGTTACGGGGCTGGATGGATGGGGCACCTTTTGGGGACAGGTTTAAAAGGTTTATGTCACTGGGGAAGGGGTGCTTTACAAGAGGGCTTTGGTAAGAGAAGATACACTGTGGGGGGGGGGCAGGGCAGGAGACTCTAGAATGGTACATGCCTCCCAGCTGCCAGGAACTCCTCGGGCTGCAGCAGGCCTTGCCCCCCAGGGCACGTCAGCCAGATCGTGTGGCAGGGCACTGCCTAGGTCCACCAGCAGAAAGGCAGAGCGAGAAAGCCCAGCCAGCCAGGGATGTGGGAAATAAAGGCTTGGTCTGAAGCACTCCTCAGAAACACACTAGTGGTTCTAAGCTACAGCAAATGGGCAAGGGAGCAGGGGAGGAAGAAAGAGGGAGAAAGAGGCCAACAGCCTTTCTGGAAAACTTCCCACTCAGGCCTGATTGAGAGCAAGGAGAATGGCCTCCCATCAGCGCTGGGGTGGGAGGGTGTGTGAGGTGGGGGGAGTCGGAAGGCTGACCGTGCTGTGGTGAGGTGTCGCTGCACAGTGCTGAGAGCTGAGGACTGGGATGGGCTATGGGGTAGGCAACTGACAACTCATAGCTTGCTGGTGATGGAACTAGCCCTGGGGAAAGGCCCTGTTTTCCAGAAATCTGGCATCAAAGAGCTGGGCAAAGATGAATTAAATGTAGTAACCAGATCCTTAGCCTGGGAGCCATGGTCTTGATGCTGTCATGAGCAGCAGCAGAATGAGTTGAGGGCCAGACTACAGTTCTGGCCAGGGCTGGGTAGGGAGGTGGCTTGCCATCAACCACAGCTGGGGCACAGGCTGAGGGCTAGAGTTTGGAGGTGATCTGTGCTTTGTATTGAGAATCTCCCATTGCCCGGCTATGGGGAAAAAGCTGCAACCTGGTGCCTGGAGATCTCAATTACTGAGCTGAGTGTGAGGAAACACTGAAGGTCCAGGAAGCTGGCCTGAGGGAGAACTCTCCGTCAGAGGTGTAGCTAAGGTATGGCAGGTATGGCACATGCCCCAGGAGCCATTTGAAGTGTGTGTGGGGGTGGGGGGGAGGCGCTACTGAGCAGTTTCTATTGACCCTGTATGGCCCAACATTCTTTCTCAAGCACGGCAGACACAGAGGCATAGGGGAGGGGCACAGGGAGGCACTTTCCTTGGGCACCAAGTCCAAGGGGTTGCCAGAGGAGGCACAGAATGACATTCAGAGGGGCCACATATTTGAAAGGCATCTGACTGAGGCTACTGGACAAGAGCGGGGAAGGCATTTCTGCTGCCACATCATCGCTATCAACATCTATTCATCTTGAAATGTGTGGGGGGGTGGGGGGGGGAGGCGACTTAAAGATTGCTCCTGGGTGCTCCTTACCCTTGACGTGGCCCTGTAGGGACATAATTTCAGTGCTTTCCATAGGCTGTTTTCCCTAGATATGCCTCTGGGACAGGCCAGGTTTACGAATGCCCCAAGACAGCCTGGCAGTGGCCCATGGATGGGATAGTTTGATAGTGATAAGTGCCTGAGGAGGAAGCAGGGAGGGCATTGGTTTCCAAGGAGGACACTGAGGAGGGGACTATGGTAACAGGAGAGGACTGACTGGGGCTCTAACTGGGAATGCCCCAGAGATGAGGTGATGAGGATCACTCTGATTTGAAGAAAAGCTGAAAGATGGGACTGTGAGCAGAAAGCAGGGCTGGGAATTGAGGAGATATCCTCCTGCAAAGCACCTGGCTCTGCCTGAGACAGTTCACTGAAGATGAGCAGCGTGTACACTGGTCCAAGACCAACACCCCTAACCCCAGCCCAGCCCTATGCCTTCAAACCCCCACCGTCCAGCCTGCTTGTGCAGTGAGTGTCCCAGCGGAGCTGGCTCTGTCTCCAACGAGGGAAAAGGCGTTTTCTCCATAGCTTCAGGTCCAATAGCTACTTTCCCTCCTCAACTTGACTTCGAGTGGAAGGGAGTTGGGTTTTCCTACTCTGTGCCGCACTGGGGCTGTGCCTGCTGCCAGGATGTGTGAAAGGTCATGCCAAGAGGCATCTGGAACAAACAGGTGGCTCTCTGGAGCTGGGTGGCAGGGACAGAGTGTTGGTGGGAGAGGCCCTGGCCTCCTGTGGGGAGCCATGCAGAAATCTCTGTGTGCTTCTCTTTGGTTCGGTGACTCTTTGGCACACGCGGATGGGCTGAGGCTCTTCAGCACCAAACATGTGGGGAAGAACACACCTACGCACGGTTTAGTTTCTTTCTTAAATATGTATTCGAACCAGTATGTTCTGTCTTATGGAGGGGTGAGTCACAGGCAGGAGTATAAAGTCAGTAGCATCCTCACTCATCTTTAACCTCTTCTCCAGCTCTAGGTAGATACAGAAGATGGCAAGGGAAACAGTCTCAAACAATAAAGCATTTATTTTATGTTGACCAGGCCAGAAAGCATGTTTATCATGAACACCTTGATGGTCAACTTCCCACTACATGCATTAATAGATGGGAAGCCATGGTTTGGACACTATGAAATTTTTTATATTTGGCCCTGGAGTTAGTTTGATTTCTTTTGGCAGTGGATTTCTCCTCCTAACTACATTTTGCTTAAGCTGATACCAAAGTAGATTTGCATTCTCAGAGCACAAGTTGGATGTGCGGTGGAGGGGGTTAGGTCGGAGGCATGCCGGTTCCAGCTTTAAAAATTGTCCAGCAGTAATCCACAAGATGGATAAACCAGACTGAGCTATTATAATTACTAGCAGTCAAGATCATCATCATAAAACCAGCTTTGAATATGGAAGCTTTCTTTTGAGGACCACTCACTTTACAGATTTAATCCCTTATAACCTCCCTACTTCGGAGCCCTGGTGGTGCAGTGGCTAAGAGCTCGGCTGCTAACCAAAAGGTTGGCAGTTCGAATCCACCAGCCACGTTTGGTTTTCTTTTTTATGGGGGGTAACCTCCCTATTTTAGTCTCTGGATGGCACAAATCATTAAGCCCTTGACTGCTAACTGAAAGTTTGGCAGTTTGAGTCCACTCAAAGGCACCTAGAAAATTCTGGCAATCTATTTCTGAAAGATAACAGCCATTGAAAACCCTATGGAGCACAGTTCTACTCCAACACACATGGGGTTGCCTTAAGTCTGAATCGACTCCGTGGCAACTAGTTTTGGTTTTTAACCTCCTTATTTTAGAGAGATACACTGAGACAGAGAGTCCAAAGAAGACTTAGGACGTGTCTGTGGATAATGTCTTCACGGCATTTCCTGGGAAGATCAGAAAATGCTAGTGAACTCCAGGTGACAATAGGATGGGGGTGGGATGGAGGTGGGGACCAATGAAGAAGGGGGAGGGGGAGAAGGCGTAGATGGGAGAGACCAGCGGGAAATGGTGCTGGGATGTGTCCTACCCGGAAGCTCACTGAGGGCAATGGCAGCCAGGGTCACAGCATGTGGCTACAGGGGTGCTGGAGGGAGGAAGGCCCTCAAGTGCCAGGAAAACTCTTCAGCCGAAAGAGGGCTTGTAAGAAAACGCTGTTCTCCGCCAGTGGGCAAGTGGTGGAGACCTGGTTTTAACGGGAAGACAAGGAAAAAAACTCGAGTCCCAGGGCGGACTAGGATGCCGCTCAGCTTCGGTGGAAAGGGGGAAAACCCCCTGGGAGTCCAGTGAGAGCTGGCACCCCGTGAGGTAGAGGGTCGGAATCTAACACCCGACACCGAGCCAAGACCCTCTCCCCGGCGTTCTCCCGGGAGGGGGAGGAAAGGGAAGGAGCGGCGGCCGAGGGGCAGGGCCGAGGGGTGGGCTGCGGGGGCGACCAATCCCCGTCTTTCCCCGCCCCTTCCCCGCCTCTTGACCCCTTTCCACCAACGGAGCGCCGCGGTGGGCAGGGCCTGTCACGGCAGCGGTCCTGGGTGCGGTTTTTTTTTTTACCCCTTTTTCTTCCTGTCTCTTTTTTTTGTGAATGAAAAAGGGAGGTCGCGAGCGGTCCCCGGGACTGCAGCGCTAGGCGTCCTCTCGGCACTGCATTTGGAGAGGACCTGGGCGCGTGGCAGTAGCAGCCTCGCCCCTCTCCTTCCATCCCTGCGTGCTGCCTCTACCCTGCGCCGCCGGAGCGGCTGCGGCGGTGGTGCGGCCCAGCGCCGGAGCTCGGACCGGCCGGCTGGCGCGCAGCCCCTGACTCCGGCTCCCGGGTCTGGCCCGCCGCGGCGGGCCCCGCGCCTCCATGACATTGGGCGCCCGGTGCCCGGGGAGATGCTGATACGGAAGAGGCAATGGCTGCAGTGCAGAGCGCCCGGCTGCTCCGGGTCCGCCGTCCGGCCTGGGCTCCTCTGTCAGAGTTTCTGATCTAACGCGAACCCGGGCCCGGAGGCTGCAGCAGCAGCGCGGCGGCGGCGGCAGCATCGTCCTAACTTGCACGCACGGAGTGACCGCAGACATTTCACTAAAATGAGCGTGCTTAGCAGGAAGAGATGTGTTCCTTACACTAGAAATTATCCCGTCACATGCAGTGGTGTAAGTAAATGATTAATTTTTATTATGGCCGGGTTGCAAGCAGTCTCCGGAACCGGCGCTTCACCCTCCGGCTGCCTCGTCCACCCACCTCCTCCCTGTTTGCGCCCCTCCTCAGTGCCACTCGCCTCCTGCTGCTCCTGGGACTCTCGTTTCAGCTGCTGGGTTCCGAGGGGCGGGGAACTAACCTTTTCCGGGTTTTTCTAGGGAAAGGAAGATGATTTGATCGTCTTGGTGTGTCGTGCCCTTCCCCCTTCCCTGTTTTTTATTTTGTGTGTGTGCAGAGCAGCGTGTCGGGAAAAAAAGGTCCAGAGTAATGGAAGTGTTTCCGGTAAAAATCAATGGAATGTGGATGTTTTGCTCACGCTTCTAGAGATGTTTCTTTCAACTCAACTCCATTGCAGTCTGTGCAACTGAGTTCTGGCAAACTACTGGGAAAATTTTGAGCGTGGTTTGTTGATGTTTCGACAATTTAGGTTTGAGACGGCTTAAGCTGTGTTAGGCTTGCATTTTTGTTATATGCCCATTCATGATCCCCGTGGGCCCCGCTTTCCATTGGATCTGCGTCGCCAGATTGATCTCTCCGCTTCCCCCATGTTACACTGTCAGCAAGCAACTCCAAAGGGAGCCTCCTTTAATTCCGAGTCCACCCTCTCTTTGCTCTTCTCTCGATTCTTTCTTCTTATCCATCCTTCTTGATTTTTACCTTCATTTTCAGGATTTTCCTCCCTTTCGCATTTTATAAGATGCAGGATGTGGGATATTGGTTGCTAGGAGACAAACCAGGCTTCCAGGGAGATTCTGTAGTTTCCTTGACAACAAGACTAGGGCAACCACAGATGAACAAGCCTCCTATCAGCTGTGGGAGGGAAAGGGGGGCTTTTCTGAGCTCAGCTAAGGGTGTGTGTAGGGGGTGAGGGTGGGAATGGGAACCAGCAAGTGTTGTAGCTAATCTGAACACACGTTCGGGTTTGGCCTGGACTCTGTACAAACAGCTGAGAGAGCAGTGGGCAGGTGGTGTTTTTGGAGGGGGGACAGGAACCGTGGGGGCAGGGAGGATATCGGTCACTCTGGGATCATTGAGGGAGGAGGAGTGAATTGGGGGAGTGATACCCAGGGCAGGATGGCAAGGAAGCCATAGTTTGTGGAGGTTAGCCAGGAGGCTTGGACGGAGTGGGGATGAGGCAATAGTGAGGAAAAGTCTAGAGCCATGGAAGGAGAGAGTGCCAGAGGGAAAGGGGAAGTTGAGAAGCTCACTGAGTGGGTTGTCTCATCATACATCAGCAATGATAAAGTAGCAATATTCTAGAGCAAAAATTATACTGTTGGCATGCAATCTCCAGGACAAGGTCCTCATTTAAGACAGGCCCAATTAGACCAAGAGTTCTGCAGGTTTAATTGGGCCAGTCTGTATCTTAAAGAGAGATATAATTACACATATAGATATGTAATCTAGTATTATATAATACCAGCATTACATAAGAAGACAAATACCTACTTTTAGCCCAGGCTCTCATCACATGAATTAACCAAGAGTCAGGAGACTTTCTTCCAAAGCCTCTTACTCATTTTCTGGAGGGGGAGGCTGATGTCCAGAAAAGTGATTTGCCCTTTCCTAGATAAGACAATGAAGTTTGCCAGTCAGGCAGTTTGGGCACAGGTGGAATGGGTGAGAATAATGACAGTAGGGAGGAAGTCGAAGGACAAGCAGGGGAAGGCTGAGGGGACAAGCTGGGGAATGGATGGGGAGTGGTATCAGCCTGGGCAGTAATCCAGCAAGCCTGGTGTTTAAACTCATGGCACAGGATTTTCCATTCTCCTACTTGTTGGTTGGCCGTCCCTTACTTAACTTTAGTGGTGCATAAGGTGTGTGTGAATGTTTTAATCACAGAGCAGCTGAACTTGGACCATACTGCTCTGCTGGTGTCCTGGTGTCATTTTTGATATCAAGACATACCTGGATTTAAGAACCGATGCCCTCCTCTTTGTCTCATTTCCCCTTTCTGCTTACAGACCTACATGGCACTACAATCTAAATTTGACAAAGAAGTTCTACTGGCTGGTGGGTTTTTATCTTTACCGTAAACCCGTTGCTGTCGAGTTGATTCTGACTCATAGTGACCCTATAGGACAGAGTGGAACTGCCCCATAGGGTTTCCAAGGAGTGGCCGTTGGATTCGAACTGCTGACCTTTTGGTGAACAGCCAAACGCTTAACCGCTGGCACCACCAGGGCTCCATCTTTACCCTACAGCTGTACATATTTGTATTTGGGATTCTGTTTTATTTTTCACTCAATAAAGCAGAAACCACAACCCAGATGATTCCTCCCAGTGCCCACAATCCCTCAGTTTCTTGACTTTAGACTATGAACTATAAAAATGGGGTGCCGGGTCCTCAGATTAGGACAGAGACTAGAGAGGAAGCAAGATGGTGGTTAGAATAATGGCTGCTGGGAGAGGGCGAGGCTGGTGGAGAGGAGCGGGAATGATGCAGACAATTGCCCTGGAGACTGGGGAAGGAACTGTGTGGAGACCCCTGGTTGTTTAGGGTCTGGATCCTGTAAATTCCAAGAAGGGAGAGGAGGTTGTCTCACTGAAAAGTCCTTGCTGCATTTTTTGCTTAGGTGGCTGAGACGCATCCACTCACACAAATCCCAGTTGCCATCGTTACTTGAGTATTCTGCATTCCTGCACGCTGGCATCCAGTTACAGCGGCCAGGCAGCTGGCAGGAGTGGAGCTTCTCTGGTGCTGCTGGTGGTCTGGCTCTCAGGCTGGATGGTTGAGCAGTGAGGGGGCCTGGGCAGTCTTCAGGACTCCTCTGAGCTCAGCCTTCCTTGGCCAAGGAAGGATTACTCCAGACTGCTCCATTACCCCAGACTACTTATCATGCAGGCAGGGAACGTGAGGCAGGGGCAAGTTCTTGACCATGGAGGAAACCAAGCCTGGTTGAGGCCTCCACTAATAACCCTTTCCTGCAGTCTTCCAGGAGGGTGGAGGCCAACTGAGAGGCTGCCAGTGAAAACCCCCTCCAGGCTGGTGACAGCTTTTTAAACACTGCCAGGACATTTTGACTACAGAAGGGCCTTCTGTTTGTTGCTTTAAACCATCCCTCTCTGTGGCTGGACAAGCCACTTGCTCTCTGCCTGACACAGAAGGAAACTGAGGCAAATGTTTACCCAGAAATTCAGGCCCAAGTTTCTCACCCTGTGCTTCCTCCAGCAACCCCGTTATCCACGTAGCCAATTTAGTGAGTGTCCTCCGAGAAGCCGCCAGTTGTCTGGGGGCTTCTGGCTCGAGACTCCCCCATCCTGTGATTGAAATGCAGAAGGGGTGTATCTCACTCTCCCGGAGGCAGGTACAGGATGCCTGGAGGGCAGTCCTGGGTAGGAGATTGAGGCCCACTAGCGGAGGAGTGTGTCGTCACAGGCACGTGGTTTACCCCTCACCCCATCTCAAAGCTGGGCCTGCAGCTAAGTGAAACATGCAAGCAATGTGATAGACCCAGGGGGAGGAGGGGAGGCTCCTGGGCTGGTCAGGTGCAGCCAGAAACCTCCCCAGCCCAGAGATCTGGGAGAAAAACTCATATTTGCAGAAAGAGGGCTGGGGGCTGCAATTGAAGGATAGACATAGACAGGAGCTGGGAAATCCTCCACCAGAGAGGTAGAGGGGACAGGGTGGGGGCCAGGAGAGCTGCTGCCTAGCTTTGACAAGTCCATTAAATTTTAAAGTAGGCTTGCCCTCAGGCATTCTGGGAAGGGGTGGGGATCTGGCCCTGACTCTGCTTCTCTCAGCTGTTTGTTGTTCTGCTGCCACAGCCCTGCTGGGGGTGAAGGAGGAGGACAAGGAAAGCAGATGATGAGTGAGCTTCCCAGGCCGACTCTTCTCTTTCTGAGAGAGTGGGGACAGGCCCCAGGCAGGCTCTGTCACAGGCCTCCTCTCATCCGGAAACCCAGTTGGAGGATGGTGGGATCAGAAGGGGGACCAGTGGTCAAGCTGGTGGAACTGTTCCTCTCAGCCTGAATGGGCTCCTATCTCCGCAGGCCTCTGCACAGCTATTGCCCAGAAAGTTGCCAACATCTTTCTCCTCTTCTCAGCTCAAAGGATTGAGGAGGGGGCAGCCCTGGCTGAGGAGAGCTGCTGGGCCTGGCCCTGGGGTGCTGGCATGCAGAGCTGTCCTGACCAGTTCCCTCCTCTCCCTCAGGTCCCAATTAATGGATTCTGACATGGATTATGAAAGGCCAAACGTAGAGACCATCAAGTGTGTTGTGGTCGGGGACAACGCTGTGGGCAAGACCAGGCTCATCTGTGCCCGGGCCTGCAATGCCACCCTTACCCAGTACCAGTTGCTTGCCACCCACGTGCCCACGGTTTGGGCCATCGACCAGTATCGGGTGTGCCAGGAGGTAAGGCTGCAAGGCCTCTGGGTTGGGGGTCCACGCCATGTCCCAAGCCATAGCTTGGTGTCTCCAACCAGGAGCTGGACCCGTGGCGTACTAGAGGGTTGCGGAGGGAGCGGGTGCAGACTGGAGGGGGCAACACCAAAATGACCCCAGGGCCCACCTGGGCAGTGGTGGGCAGGCGAGCGGTGCAGTGGGAAGGGGCCATCAAGGCAGTGGCGTCACTGGGGTTGGTGTCACCTGTCACCCAATGCGGTAACTCCTCACCACCTCATCCCCCCCACTCACCTGCCAGTCACTAGGGTTGGTGTCACCCAGTGCAGTAACTGTCACCCCCCCCATCCGCACTCCCCCCCCAGCCTCATCACCTAGTCAGATTGCTCACTTCTTGGCCACAGCCCCACCATGAGGTGGAGAGGAGGGTCTCTGCCTTGGCCAATGGGAGAGGGGAGAAGTGTGGAGAGCTGCAGGGGGTTGGGGCTGAGAGAAGCTGGGCACACAGTGCAGTGCTCGCCCCAGAGCAAGGCAGGCGAGACCAGGCCACTTCGCCCACCAGTGGGGGGCATTGCTGGCCAGCCCCTACCCATGGGGGTGTGGTGTGATACCATGAGTCACTGCGCTGGTAACATCAACCCTAGTGACACCACTGAGCTGGACTGAGCACTGAATCCTCTCAGGGGTGGGGTGAGGGCGGCTAAAGAGGAAGAAGCCCCTGGAGAGAGGTCTGATGTGTGCCTACCCCGTGGGAGCATTCTTTGACTATTTATTTGTGTTTTTCCTGGCTGAGTTGCTGCCTGGGACCAGAGCTTTGCCTGGGGCATAGCATCTTGTGCAATCACAGCCCTAAGTAATGGGGAGCACCAGGTGGCTGGGGCTTTGGAGAGATAGCAGTGGAAAGTAGCTGCCAGTAAATACAAAAAGATCAGAGACTCATAAACATAAGATTTGCGGGTAAAGCAGGGAACAAGAGTAGGCTCCCTAAGAGATCCCTTCCACATACATAACAGTCTGCCCTTCTATGGTCTGTTCTACTTGAAGACTACCCTTGTTACTGATTCTGCACAGATATCACCCTGATAAAAAGTCTTGTGCAGAGCACACAGTAGGATACACCAACCTTGCTCTCCCCCTACCCCCGATGCTGCCTGGGACCCTCAGGGTGAGCTGGCATCCACCCTGAGCTCACATGCAACGAACTCCAAGAACCATTGTCCTTGATTCCCACCCCCCACCTGGCAGGTGCTGGAACGCTCCCGAGATGTGGTAGATGATGTCAGCGTCTCCCTGCGCCTCTGGGACACCTTTGGAGACCACCACAAAGATCGGCGCTTTGCTTATGGGAGGTAGGGACAGCCTCTGGCTGCTTGCAGGGAGCCAAGTGGGTGGGTTTTTCCTGCTTTCCCAAGGAATTGAAACATTTAAACTGGGAGGGAGGAACAGAGAAAACAGCACTGGCAGAACCTCACAGGGGTGGTGAAAAGCACTGGGGATTTGGAGCCAGAAGACTGAGTTTGAGTCCCATCTCCATCACTTATTAGCTATGTGACTTTGAACAGTTAAGGTAACTGCTCTGGCTTGATTTTTCTCAGTTGTGGAATGATACTTGGTAACTTACAAGATAGCTGTGAGGTTAAGTGAGAGTCTTTGACAGCTCTAAAATGCTATATAAATTAGAGGTGTAATTCTACATTTTGTGTAAGATCGTGTGAGCAGACCCATACGCTGGAGGTGAGTATGGAGCGCACTCCCTTGTTCTAGGGGGCAGTAACCTACCCCTAGCTTTCTCTGCCGGTAACCTCCCTTTCCCACCCCCAGATCTGATGTGGTGGTTCTCTGCTTCTCCATTGCCAACCCCAATTCCTTGCACCATGTCAAGACCATGTGGTACCCAGAAATCAAGCACTTCTGCCCCCGAGCACCTGTCATCTTGGTGGGCTGCCAGCTGGACCTGCGCTACGCTGACCTGGAAGCTGTCAATAGGGCCAGGCGACCCTTGGCTAGGTAAGGGATGCTGGTGCCTAGGGAGGGAAAAGGAAGAAAATGGAGGGACCAGCAGATCACCATGGCTCCCTGCCCAGTCCTGAGGGAATCCCACTGAGTCTTACGTTCCCCTCCCCACCCCCACCACTTTGGAGCTAGCTCACATAGGGAGCCAACAAGGATGCTCATTGATCCATTCACTCACGTATGTATCTACTGCACACCTACCGTGTAGGCAATACTGTGCTAGACACTGAGGATAGAAAGAGAGGAGAAGATGGTCTTTATATGAAAAGGTCTTATTATCTTGCTGGGAGATAAACTAAATATGTAAACACCAGTGTGAAACATCGTGTGCTAAGAAGATAATTAGGGCTGTCATTGCTTTGAGCTGGGAAGATCACCTTGGCCTGGCATAAATAAGGAAGACTTCCTGTAGGAAGAAGGGATTAGAGGTGGACCTTGAAGTACTGGTAGGATTTGTCTAGATAGAAGAGGTAGGGCAAAGATTCAGTGGAAATGAGTAGGGGATGAGTGGGGGCCAAAGAAGTGGATCCTGAGCAAATTCCCTCAGCCTGATGAAGAACAGGCAGGCTCTGGGGAACTGTCTCTTCCTGTTTCCATCCCTCCACCACCAACACAAGTTTGGTTTCCCTTCTTGAACCCACCAGGCCCATCAAGCCCAATGAGATCCTTCCTCCAGAGAAGGGTAGGGAGGTGGCCAAGGAACTGGGCATCCCCTACTATGAGACCAGCGTTGTGGCCCAGTTTGGCATCAAGGATGTCTTTGACAACGCCATCCGGGCAGCACTCATCTCCCGCCGGCATCTGCAGTTCTGGAAGTCCCACCTCCGCAATGTGCAGCGGCCTCTACTGCAGGCCCCTTTCCTGCCCCCCAAGCCACCGCCCCCCATCATCGTGGTGCCCGACCCTCCCTCCAGCAGTGAGGAGTGCCCCGCCCATCTCCTGGAGGACCCGCTGTGCGCGGATGTCATCCTGGTGCTGCAGGAGCGGGTGCGCATCTTTGCCCACAAGATCTACCTCTCCACCTCCTCCTCCAAGTTCTATGACCTGTTCCTCATGGACCTGAGTGAGGGGGAGTTGGGGGACCTCTCTGGGCCAGGGGGCCCCCATCCAGAGGACCAGCGGGGTCACCCTGATCAACACCACCACCATCACCACCACCACCATCATGGGCGGGACTTTCTGCTTCGGGCAGCCAGCTTTGATGTGTGTGAGAGCGTGGACGAGGGTAGGGGCTCTGGGTCTGCTGGACTCCGGGCCTCCACCAGTGATGGGATCTTACGGGACAACGGGACAGGGTACCTGCCAGGGAGGAGTCGAGTGCTCTCTTCCTGGAGCCGAGCTTTTGTGAGCATCCAGGAAGAGATGACAGAAGATCCTCTAACCTACAAATCCCGGCTGATGGTGGTGGTAAAAATGGACAACTCCATCCAGCCAGGGCCCTTCCGGGCTGTTCTCAAGTACTTGTACACAGGCGAGCTGGACGAGAATGAGCGGGACCTCATGCACATTGCCCACATTGCTGAGCTGCTTGAGGTGTTTGATTTGCGCATGATGGTGGCCAACATTCTCAACAACGAGGCCTTCATGAACCAGGAGATCACCAAGGCCTTCCATGTCCGCCGGACCAACCGGGTTAAGGAGTGCTTGGCAAAAGGCACCTTCTCAGGTATGGAACATGCTTAGGAACTGATGGCTGGAAGGCAGGGGAGTTCTCTCCAAATAGCCTTCTGATGAGTCTGGATTGGTCTGATTTGCATTCCAAGTCAACTCCTGATGCCCTGGAGAGATAGACTACCTGCTCCTGAGGCTCAGTCTTCCGTAGCTGAGAGCTTACAGGGAAGACAGCTTCAGAAGGAGGCTGGGGCTGTCTGTCTGGGCTCAGTGACAACTTTGGGGTTGGTTATCCCACGTTCTTTCAAAATACCCTCATGTGATGCCTCTTTCCCTCCTGGGTAGATGTGACCTTCATCCTGGATGATGGGGCCATCAGTGCCCACAAGCCCCTGTTGATTTCCAGCTGTGACTGGATGGCTGCCATGTTTGGAGGGCCATTTGTGGAGAGTTCCACCAGGGAGGTAAGGCTGAGGCTGGGAAGGGGTGGTAGAAGAGGGAGGTTTACACCTGCTGCATCTGAAACATCCTGCATTTAGTGGCACTTTCTTCAGCACTGATGATGTACTAAACATATCATGCTATGTCCAACAGACATTTATGAGATGGTTTCTATATCCAAGAATTTTACAGTATACCAGGAGAGGGAATTATAATAAAATCTTCTTTTGGGGGGGAGGGGGGACAAGTACACAGTTCTTTTATTAAAAGAAAGAACAGTACTCACTCATTTTTTAATTTGTTTTGAGAGTTAATGTTTTTATGTTGTAGTATTGATGTTTATGCTGTTGGCATTTTATAATATTTAAAGTTTTTTTATTAATGTTGTTAAGACTTATTGAAATTTGGTTTCATGTGCTGGATCATTATTATTTTTTAAAATTTTATTTATTTTGTAGGTGCTGAGAATATACATAGTAATATCTTAACTTTATAGCTTAGAAAGCACTTCCAATACATTACGTCATTTAATCCACACACTGCTCTTACACATATCATGGCATTCCCATTTTATACATAAGGAAAGTGAGGCCCCAAGAAGTTAAGTGGCTTGCCTAAAGTTGTGTAGGTACAAAGCAGAGAGGCTAGAGCTTGAACTCAGGACTTCTGACTCGTTGGCTTTTTACATGACACCCTGCCGCCTCCAATACATGCACAACTAAAAAATATCAGCGTGTCCCAAGCTGAATCCACTGCCTTTCCCTCTAATCAGCGCCCCTCCAACTCACCTGATTTCTCGCTGACACCACCCACCACTGCCTCAGGTGCCTAGATTGGAAACCATAGAACTGAATAAATCATAGCACTTAGAGTCAGAAGGGGCCTATCAATGTGTCCTTAGAAATTTTTCTCTAAAGTCTATCTTCTGCTTTCCATTCTCCTAGCCAAGCAGAGTAACCCAGGCCATAGCCCTCTCTGAACTCCTGTAACTTTAGTTGTCCATCATTCAGCCTTGTAGTTTACAAGGTACTACTACATACAGCTACTTAAATGCTCAGAGTGTCCACACCCGGTTTTCCCAACAAGTCTGTAACTTCTTTTGAGTGTAGAGACTAGGTCTTTTACTTCTGCCAGCTACCCACTTAGCACTGGCCTCTTAGTAAGTGCTCACCAAATACTTGAATGAAAAACTGAAATAAGAACGATACAGCATAGCACCCTGTGTTACAGAATATGAGTTTCCTAAGATTTCCGGGAAGGAAGTATTTGTGGGAGGCCAAATGGAGGGGTTGGGTTTGGCTCCTGATTCTTGAAGCATGAGTAGGGTTTGGATACGCAAAGTGTGTGACTAAGAACTCTTGGAAGCCCTAGGGGCGTGTCAGCCATAGACACTACTCAGAACCCTAGAAGCCAGCTTTAGAGCTCTAGCTGATTCCCAGTGCAGCCCGGAGAGACTTGGGTCTGATGAGAAAGCAGTTTTTGTTGCCGCGTTGCTTTAAAGAGATCCCCGAGGCCCAAAGCGACCCTTCAAGCAGCCAGAGAGAAGCCAGCTGGTGTTCCACTGCTTCCTGCAGGGAGGGGAGGGGCCGGGGTATAGATTCAGGTGGCTGAAAAGGACTCCGCCGAGCATCCAGGCTTCAGAACAGGTTCAAAAGGATGCCAGTGAGAATCCAGGTGCCTTTAAAAGATAATAGAATGGATAGACCTTGAAAACATTAGGCTAAATGAAATAACTCAGTCACAAAAGGACAAATATTATATGATCCCACTTACTTGAAATATCTGGAATTGGCAAGTGTACAGAGATCAGAGTTTATTAGTGGTTACCAGAGGCAGGCGGGAGGGAGAGGAAAGGAAGACACAATGCTTCGGGAACACTGATGGAAAAATTCAGGAATGGTTATGGTGATTGTTGACAACATGATGAATGTAATTAAGGTCATTGAACTGCACATGTGAAGATAGTACAAATGGCAGATGTTTTGTTACCTATATATTTACTACAATAATAATAATAAAAGATAATAGAGCCCAGTTCACTGATGCCATCATCAATCTGGGCCTCAGACAAGGTCGTTGCTCTGGGAGACAGGCCTTTGGGGATCTTCTGAGCAGGTATAGGAGCAGCACTGGGTAGGCTGCTTGTCTGGGAGAGACCAGGTATGTGGGCCAGGGCCTCCTAAATTTCTCAGAACTGGGTAACCCTTCCCTATAGCTGGACCTCATTGTGGCCTGGTCTATTCCTTTCGATCCCCAGGTGGTGTTTCCTTACACAAGCAAGAGCTGCATGAGGGCAGTGCTGGAATACCTCTACACGGGCATGTTCACCTCCAGTCCCGACCTGGATGACATGAAGCTCATCATTCTTGCGAACCGCCTCTGCTTGCCACACTTGGTTGCCCTCACAGGTAACTAACCGGAGGACCTGCCTGGGGGTGAGGTCAGGGAAACCCCAGGAGTGATTATATGTTCTTCTTTCACCTCATTTCTCCTAGGGGACAGACTGGAAACACCAAGGGAGTAAGTTTACATAATATGAAATACGCTGATGTGTATTAAGTTTTGCGAGAGGACACAGATATAATGGAGTGTGTATGTGTGAGAGATGCTTGACGGGGTCACTTTATAGGCTCACTCCAAAGGTTATTTCAGCCCAGCAAAGTAGTCTCCATTAGATACTTTCTTATGTTCTTATCAGCTTGGCTTCACTCAGGCAAAGATACACAAGTCAAAAAGAATAGAAGACAATTTCACATTTATCGATGATGATGATGATGATGTTTTTCCTCCTGCTTTTCTTCTTGTTCTCTTTCTCTCCCTTCTTCTCTTTTTCTCCTCTTCCACTTTCTCCTTCTCCTCTTGATCCTCTTCCTCTTCTTCCTCTTTCTCCTCCTTCTCTTTCTCCGTGTTCTCAAAATGGAAAACAAACACTGACTCATCATTTCTAATTCTTTGAAAGGATTGTGAGAACTGGAGCTGAGTGTTTGTTGTTGTTGTTAAGTGCCATTGAGTTGGTTCTGACTCATAGCGACCCTGTGTACAACAGAACAAAACACTGTCTGGTCCTGCACCATACTCACAATCTTTGCTATGTTTGAGCCTATTGTTGTATCCACTGTGTCAATCCATCTCATTGAGGGTCTTCCTCTTTTTCACTGACCCTCTACTTTACCAAGCATGATGCCCTTCTCCAGAGACTGATCCCTCCTGATAACATGTCCGAAGTGTATGAGACGAAGTCTTGCCATCCTTGCTTCTAATGAGCATTCATGCTGTACTTCTTCCAAGACAGATTTGTTCATTCTTCTGACAGTCCATGGTATATTCAATATTCTTCACCAATACCATAATTCGAAGGCATCGATTCTGCTTTGGTCTTCCCTATTCATTGTCCAGCTTTCCCCTACATATAAGGTGATTGAAAATACCGTGTCTTGAGTCAGGCACACCTTAGTCCTCAAAGTGACATCTTTGCTTTTTAACCATTTTAAAGAAGGCTTTTGCAGCATATTTGCCCAATGCAACACGTCATTTGATTTCTTAACTGCTGCTTCCATGGGTGTTAATTGTAGATCCAAGTAGAATGAAATCCTTGACAACTTTACTCTTTTCTCTGTTTATCATGATGTTGCTTATTGGTTCAGTTGTGAGGCTTTTTGTTTTCTTTATGTTGAGGTGTAATTCACACTGAAGGCGGTGGTCTTTGATCTTCATCATTTAAGTGGTTCAAGTCCTCTTTACTTTAAACAAACAAGGTTGTGTCATCTGTGTAACACAGGTTGTTAATGAGTCTTCCTCCAATCCTGATGCCGTGTTCTTCTTCATATAGTTCAGTTTCTTGGATTATTTGCTCAGCATACAGATTGAATAAGCATAGTGAAAGTATACAACTCTGATGCACACCTTTCTTGACTTTAACCCACATGTATCACCTTGTTCTGTTGGAACGACTGCATCTTGGTCTGTGTACAGGTTCTACATGAACACAATTAAGTGTTCCGGAATTCCCATTCCTTACAATGTTATCCATAATTGTTTATGATCCACACAGTCAAATGCCTTTGCATAGTCAATAAAACGCAGGTAAACATCTTTCTAGTATTCTCTGCTTTCAGCCAAGGTCCATCTGACATCAGCATTGATATCCCTCATCTGAATCTGGCTTGAATTTCTGGCAGCTCCCTGTCAATGTATTGTTGTAACCGTTTTTTAGTTGTCTTCAGCAAAATTTTACTTGCATGTAATACTAATGATATTGTTCGATAATTTTCACATTCTGTTGTATCACATTTCTTTGGAATGGGCACAAATGCAGATCTCTTCCAGTCAGTTGGCCAGGTAGCTGTTTTTCAAATTTCTTGGCATAGATGAATGAGCACTTCCAGCGTTGCATCCATTTGTTGAAACATCTCAATTGGTATTTGTTGTCAATTCCTGAAGACTTATTTTTCACCAATGCCTTCAGTGCACCTTGGACTTCTTCCTTCAGTTCCATTTGTTCTTGATCATAAGCCATCTCCTGAAATGGTTGAATGTCAACCATTTCTTGTTGTTACAGTGACTCTGTATTCCTTCCATCTTCTTTTGATGCTTCCTGCGTCATTCAATATTTTCCCATAGCATCCTTCAATATTGCAACTCAAGACTTGAATTTTTTCTTCAGTTCTTTCAGCTTCAGAAATACTGAGTATATTCTTTCCTTTTGGTTTTCTAATTCTAGGCCCTTCACATTTCATTATAATACTTTACTTTGCCTTCTCAAGCTGCCCTTTGAAATCTTCTGTTCAGCTCCTTTACTTCATCATTTCTTCCATTCACTTTAGTTATTCTACGTTCAAGAGCAAATTTTAGAGTCTCTTCTGACATCCATTTTGGTCGTTTCTTTCTTTCCTGTCTTTTTAGTGACCTTTTGCTTTCTTCACGTATGATGTCCTTGATGTCATCCCACAGATTGTCTGATCTTCGGTCATGATTGTTGAATGCGTCACATTTTTTCTTGAGATGGTCTCTAAATTCAGGTGGGATATACTCAAGTCCTTTGGCTCTTGTGGACTAGTTTTAATTTTCTTCAGCTTCAACTTGAACTTGCATATGAGCAGTTGATGGTCTGTTCCACAGTCGACCCCTGGCCTTGTTCTGACTGATGATATTGAGCTTCCTCATCATCTCTTTCCACAGATGTAGTCCATTTGATTCCTTTGTATTCCATCTGGTGAGGTCCACATGTAAGGTTGCCGTTTATGTTGTTGAAAAAAAGTATTTCCAACGAATAGGTTGTTGGTCTCGCAAAATTCTATCATGAGATCTCCGGTGTTGTTTGTATCACCCAGGCTATATTTTCCAGCTATTTATCCTTCTTTGTTTCCAACTTTCACATTCCAATCACCAGTAATTTTCAATGCATCTTGATTACATGCTTGATCAATTTCAGATTGCAGAAGTTAGTGAAAATCTTCATTTTATTCATCTTTGACATTAGTCATTGGTGTGTATATTTGAATAATAATCGTATTGACTGGTCTGCCTTGTAGGCATATGGATATTAGCCTATCACTGACAGTGTTGTATTTCAGGACAGATCTTGAAATGTTCTTTTTAACAATGAATGTGATGCTGTTCCTCTTCAATTTGTCATTTTTGGCATAGTAGACTATATGATTGTCTGATTCAAAATGGCCAATACTAGTCCATTTCAGCTCACTGATGCCTAGGATATCTAACTTCAAGTGTTCCATTTCACTTTTGACAACTTCCAATTTTCCTAGATTCAAACTTTGTACATTGCACGTTCTGGTTATTAATGGATGCTTGCAGCTGTTTCTTCTCATTTTGAGTTGTGCCACATCAGCAAATGACTGTCCCGAAAGCTTTACTCCATCCACATCATTAGGGTCGACTCTACTTTGATGAGGCAGCTCTTCCCCTGTTATATTTTGAGTGCCTTCCAACTTGAGGGGCTCACCTTTTGGCACTATATTAGACAATGTTCTGCTGCTATTCATAAGGTTTTCATTGGCCAATTTTTTTAGAAATAGATCGCCGGGTCCTTCTTCCCAATGTGTCTTAGTCTGGAAGCGCCGCTGAAACCTGTCCACCATGGGTGACCCTCTTTGAAATACCGGTGGCATAACTTCCAGCATCACAGCAACATGCAAGCTGCTACAGTACGACAAATTGACATATGAGTGGTGGAGCATTTAGAATGGGCCAATCCCAGACACCTGCTGGGGTGAATGAAGCACTGAGGCAGTAGGGAGAACAAGTAGGCAGACAGTCAGCATCAAGGGGCTGGGGAAGAGAAACTGTGCTCTCCTGGTGAAGGGAGTTTGGGGCCAGACATCCGAGCAGACCGATGGCTTCTGTTGGTGTTGGAGTTTGGTATTTGCATTGGTGTTAGTGTCGGCATTGCTACCAATGCTGGTGTTGATGCTAGAGTTAATATTGTTTGGAAGGTCTAGGGGCAAAGAATAGGGCCCCAGACGTTGAACTGATATTCAGGGTAAGACCCCAGTGTCAGAGCTGCTGTGGGGTAGGCAGATTATCAAGTCTGGAGCTCAGATATGGGGGAAAAATAAGCAATCCAGTGATGGTAAATGAGTTATAAGGGGAGACCTAGTCATACAAAAGGTCCTAGGTGGTGCAAACAGTTTGTGCTCGACTACTAACATAAATGTTGGCGGCTCGAACCCATTTAATTATTGCTATGGGGGAAAGGCCTGGTGATCTGCTTCCACAAAGATTACCGCAAGAAAGCCCTGTGGAGCAGTTCTACTCTGTAACACACGGGGTTACCATGAGTCAGAATCAACTTGATGGCAGTGAGTTCCGTGTGGATTTTTTGGTCATAGGAAAAGGCAGAAATTCTTTATCAGTATTGGAATATGAAGAGTTGAGCTTGCAGAGGCAGTCTAGCGGTCCCAAGTAGGGGCACAGGGGACTTTAGAATAGGAAGCAAGAGAGAGGCTAAGCAAGAGATCACACTATCTGGTATGAGAAGATGTTCCATTATTTCATTGTGTACATTTCCTGCCCCAGACCTGGAATCAGCCATTTTCCGAGAAGCTCTGGTTTCTTATAGTTGGAAATGGTATTTGGAGATTATAATCTGAGCTCTAGGGATGCTCGTTGCTACTGGGTTGGTTATTGTTTCTGGGCCTTTTCTGTGAACAGACATGGGGAATCTTTTTAAAGATAAAATTTTTTTATTTTTATTTTTTATTTTTTTATTGTACTTCAGGTGAAGGCTTACAGAACAAATAGTTTCTCATGAAACAGAAGTACACATGTTATTTTATGACATTGGTTAACAACCCCACAACATATCAACCCTCTAACTTCTCAACCTTTTTTTTTTGGTGAAAATATACATAGCCAAAGATACACCATTTCAAAAATTTCTACATGCACAGTTCAGTGACATTGACTACGCTTTTTGAATTGTGCTGTTATTCTCACTTAAGATGAAGGCTTACAGAACAAAATAGTTTCTCATTTAACAGTTACTACAAATGTTGCCCTATGACAATGGTTAACAATCTCACAACACATCAACAATATCCTTACTCAACCTTGGGTTCCCTATCACCAGCTTCCTTGTCCCCTTCTGCCTTCTGGCCCTTGTCACTGGACTCCTGTACCTCGTTAGACTCATTTGGTTTTACGGGGCTGTCCACTCCCAGGCTGAACAGTGAACCTCTGAGGTAACTTCACCACTGAGCTAAAAGGGTGTCTGGGGGCCATACTCTGGGGGTTTCTCCAGTCTCCTTTAGGCCAGTAAAGCTGGTCTTTTTTTTGTGAGTTAGAATTATGCTCTACATCCTTCTCCAGCTCTGTCCAGAACCCTCTGTTGTGATCCCGTAAAGATAAAATTTTTTAAAGATAAAATACCTAATGAGTTTATCCTGATCTTTCCAATTAAAATTCAAGACTAAGGATGTTTACCTAACTTCTTCAATGTAAACATTTTAAAGTGAAATGCAACGTTGGTACACAAGTTGTTAAAAAATTTCAGTTAATACGAACGATTAGGTTTAATCCATAAATCCGTAGGTCTAATTCAGCCTTTTTTGTTTTCGACAAACCTGAGGCTTAATACCCTTTCCCATCAGTATCAGTGGCTGATGCTACTGGGGACTTTTGCCCCAGGTGTATCAGAATATTTGGTGAAATGTTTGTAGTTTAAAGAATCCTCTTCAATGATTCTAATATCTTCCTCCACTCCCCGACACCCCCACTCCACTGGGAAAATTTTGCTCTAGTTCCAGTTTCCTCACTAGTGGAACAGACTTAAATCGCCCGTAGCCTTTCCTGGCCTGTTGGGACTTGTCCCTGGCCCTGATCTCTCTTTACTCTGCAATGAGCCCCTGCTGGGCGGTGTAGGGAGTGCATGGCCATTCATGTGATTCTTCAGCTGATTCCTCGCTGTGTGTGTCACAGAGCAGTACACAGTGACCGGCCTTATGGAAGCAACCCAGATGATGGTGGACATCGATGGGGACGTCCTTGTGTTCCTGGAACTGGCTCAGGTATAATAGCAGGGGAAGGAAGCTCCAACATTCTCAACTCTAGCTCTCTCTGCCCACTGGCAGTGAAAGAGGAAGGCTGGGAGCTAGTGGATAGGAAGTAAACCCATTGTCAGACTTGGTTCCCTGCAGTACCCTGATTGGGCAGAGCTGTCTCAACCCCCAAGTTAGGAAGCAGCGAGAGAACTCCCTGACATGCCAAGAGGAGAAGCTGGCCATGGGAGGAAGGGACTGAGACTTTAGGCAACCAGAGGGCGGGGAGTGAACATTCAGTCTCATGCTTAGACATGGTTGCCGTTTACCTGGGGTCATTTAAAGGATATTGAGGACTCTTCGTCTAAAACTAATGCCCCCATCCATTTATTGCCAAACAAACAGAGCAAGGAAACTCTCCCACACAGACCCTCACAGTGCCAGAAATTCTACCATTAGAGATTAGTTTATAAAGTTAAAGCATGGCTGATTCAAGGCTTGCAGACATGCCTGGGAAAGTTAGCTCCCCAAGCCTAGTTATCAACACCTTAGCATGGGCTGCTTTGGGCACTTGCTGGGGAGGTGGAGGCGGAAGTCCTCTGGGCCGAGGTCTGAGGAGAAGATGCAGTAGGAAGCCACCACATAAGGCTTCTATCCATACATGGAGATCTGTTGTGTGATGGCATGGGGGGCAGGACAGAGGTGAGGCGATAGTGGTAATGATAGTGCTGCCAAGAACCTAAAGCAACCATTGTCTTCCTTACAATTTTGTGGGTGTTGCTTCTGGAGGTGGGCATTTTATGACGGCAGGGACTTTGCCCACCCTGCACCAAAGCTTCAGCTCCAAAGACAACTGCAGATGTCTGCACAGGAGCCTTGTCCCCTGGGGGGCAGGGGTGCTCAGTACAAATGATCTTCTGTTCCATCCCCAGTTCCACTGTGCATACCAGTTGGCCGACTGGTGCCTCCACCACATTTGCACCAACTACAACAACGTGTGCCGCAAGTTCCCCCGAGACATGAAGGCCATGTCTCCAGGTGAGCACCCTGGGCCGGCCCTGACAGGACCTGCCGCTCTCCTATGCTGATGGGGGCCTCAACTTGGGTCTGCATGTCTGACTTACCCAGGAAGCTGCCAGTGCTCCTGGGGCCTAATTTGGCCTTGAGGTTGGGAACAGCTCGCAAAGGTGAAGCCAGCCAAGTGGAGTGGGGCCCCAGGCAAAGCACTGGCCTGGAGGGCAGGGGACCTGAGTTGTAGGCAGGCTCTGCCACTAACCAGCTAAGTGACCTCGAGCAACTCAGCCTACTTCTCTGGCTTCTGTTTCTCAGAGGTACAAAGAGAGTGTTGAACTAGAGTTGGTATTTTTTCAGACTTTTTTGACCAGGGTTTCAAATAAGAAATACATTTTACTTTGCAACTTTGTGCACCTATAGAAAAATATGTAAATTTTTAAAATGCTGGTCATGATTCACTAAATGGATTTCAGAACTTAGGAATGCGTACAGCTCAGCTGGGAAAATTTAGGCCTGGACATCGTCTGAGGTCTCCTGCAGCTCTCTCTCTGCTTATTGGTTTTCTCGGTCCCAGAGCCCAACAGCAACTGCACAGCTCCAGGGAGATGTGGCACTGACCTCCCTGAGGGGTCTTCCACCCAGTGTTCCTGGGGGTCTTCACTTTTGCTGTCTGGGCTCTCTCCACTCTGCTTTGAACCTCCTCCCTGCTGCCAGGGTACTGCCACACCCTACCAATTCTCCCACAGCCCTTCTCTCCTCCTTTTTGCATTTGTTACAATTCTTCCAGTGTTTTCTTTCTAAAGCACCACTCCGATTGCATCACTCCCCAGGTTCCAAACCTTTGGCTCCCTGTGCCTTCCAGAATAAGTCCAAACCCCTCAGACTAGCCTCCCCATGTCTGCAGGCTACCTCTCCTATTCCCCTTCAGAACCTCAGCTCTGGCCAGATAATTCTACTCTCATCCCCTAATAATTCCGAGTTGTTTCCCACTGACCCCTTTGCTCTCCCCTTCTCCTTCATTTGTTGCCTCAGCCTGTTTTATTCACAACACACATTAAGCCCCAGTTCAGATCTTTCCTGTGTCTTTAGAGAAAACAAACTGAAAGTGCCTTCCCCAGCGCTGACCCGCTGCACCGATCACTGAGCACTTCACTCTCCCGAGCTCACAGCTAGACTGGGAGCTTGGTGAAGGCGGGGCTGGGGCCAGGGTCTTACACTTCTTGGGCCACAGGATCAGTATGTGTTAGCTGATGGACAGAAGGCCTGCTGGAGTTCCCAGTGGCGGCAGGGTTGGGGGAGGTGTGGGTGTTCCTTAGCGACACTCCATGTCCCAGTGCCCCTCTCACTCCTTCTCTTGCCTTCTTTCTAACCAAGCCCTACTTTATTCTGCTCCAGAAAACCAGGAGTATTTTGAGAAGCACCGGTGGCCGCCCGTCTGGTACCTGAAGGAGGAAGATCACTATCAACGGGCCCGGAAGGAGCGTGAGAAAGAGGACTATCTCCACCTGAAACGGCAGCCCAAACGGCGATGGCTGTTCTGGAATGGCCCCTCCTCACCGTCCTCTTCTGCGGCCTCCTCCTCCTCCCCATCTTCCTCCTCGGCTGTGGTCTGAGATGCTGCCACCTTCTTCTGACCCTGCTGCTGTTGTCCCCATCTGCCCTTGCCCCCTGCTCTTCTGCATCTCCCCGTCCACCTTACAGGGAAAAGGGGACCCACATAACCAGGACCCTAAGGGTGGAGCTGTTCTCACCAGCCAACATAGCGAGAGAAGAGCCGGGCCCTGTGGATCAGGACAGAGATTATCTCCAGAGGTTCCCAGTTCCAAAGCAGGGCAGGAGACAACTGTTTGGAGGCAGGGAGCAGGGAAAGAGCTAAGAAGAGCTCTGGCATTTAAGCTCTGAGTTTGAGAGCCCTAGAGTCAAAGGGAAAATCCTCCCAGCCACAAAGCTCCAGGGCTTATACGTGGGTCTTGGTCTGTGCTGTGGCCAGGGAGGCAGCCCCCCTCCCAGTGAGGAGAAGTGAGTAGGGAGCTCCTGCCTCTACTGGCCATGTTTCTCCACCAATGGACTTGAGGGTTACAAATGTTTTGTGGGCATTTTCACATGAAACCTACTTAAGTCATCACTTGAGAAGTCTGGGTAGAAATTAGCCTTCAGAACCAACTCAAGGCTTCTAGGTCCTGGGGTACAGCTGCAAGAGACCACAGGTGGACAAGCTGATACCCTGCCAGCATCCCCCAAGGGCTGTAGGCAATTCAAGCCTGATAAAGGGTGGCAGAAGGTTGTTCAGAGCTCCAGGCCTAGAAGCAGTGCCTCTTGGTGCAATGAGGAACTCCTCCCTCATTCCCCCAGCCCCCACCCCTTAACTTCCCTCCAGCCCCTACCCCTTAACTTCCCTCCAGCCTCCTTCAGATTTGGCTAAGGGAAGCAAAAGGAGCAACTGGGATAGGGGGAGGAAGAAAGAAGGGAGGTGATGGGAATCTGTGCCCACCAATCCCATGTTCCTCTGGAATCCTTCCCCTGCCTTTGGTTAGCACTGCTTTTTATGGGGTGGGGCAAAATTAGCAAAAACAAAACAAAAACAAACTTAAACAAAAAACAAATGAACAAAAAATCACCACCAACAAAAACACTATCCTCTTCCCTGCAAAGAATGAAAAACAGAAGAAGACCCTGTCATAGCTTACATTTTTTTTCTTTTTTTTTTTTTTTTAATATTTTATTGTACTTCAGGTGAAGGCTTACAGAACAGATAGTTTCTCATGTAACAGTAACACACATGCTGTTTTATGACATTGGTTAACAACCCCACAACATTTTAACCCTCTAAATTCTCAACTTTTTTTTTTTTCTTTTGTGAAAATACACATAGCCAAAGATATGCCATTTCAAAAATTTTTTTTTTACATACACATTTAAGTGACATTGACTACACTCTTCTAATTGTGCTGTTATTCTCACTTAAGATGAAGGCTTACAGGACAAAATAGTCTCCCATTTGACAGTTACTACAAATGTTGCCCTATGACAATGGTTAACAATCTCACAACACATCAACAATATCCTTACTCTACTTTGTGTTCCCTATCATCAGCTTCCTACTCCCCTTCTGCCTTCTGGGCCTTGTCACTGGACTCCTGTACCTTGTTACTCTCATGGTTTTACTGGGCTGTCCACTCTCAGGCTGATCAGTGAGCCCATAGCTTACATTTTTATAAAGCCAAACAGGTACTCATGAGACAAAGGTTTGGGTTGTAGAATCCAATGCCGTTCAGGAAAGCACTGTCACTAGTCCTGACTGAGGGTGCCCTGGCTCAGCTAGACTGGCTCTAAGAGGCAGCACAACTTCTTGGCCCCCCAACATGCTGGCAATTGAGGACTGGGGGAGAGCTTTAACATAGCATTGGACTCTAGCCTTTGCCCATCTTGAGAATGCAGGTCATCCTCTTGACCTTCAGAGGGAGACCCCATAAGATGTTTATTGTGTGAATGTTGGGGGTGGGTAGGTAGGGTCAAAGTCAGGGAAAAGGACACTGAGTTGGAGAACAGAGTCTCCTGTGATGAAGGATCATAGGACGTAGAACCCTAACTAGTCCTGGTTTGGGGTAAAAGGGTAGAAGAAAAAAGGGGAGAAGAGAGCAGGAGCAAAAGCAAGATCAATCCAGAGAAGGTGAAGAATTAAACAGTAGCTTGCAGGACGTGAGGGAAAAAGCTGGGCCACAATAATTGACTCTTCCCCCGTTTTCTAATCTTGACCCATATTTCATGTCCCCTTTTTTAGACTTAAAAGACTGTCTTACCGATGAGAGGCAGAGCCAGGGCAGCAGTAAGGTCATAGGCTCAGAGTTCATCTCGACTGAGAAAATCGCTTCAAGAAGAGGGACTAGCTCTCAGTCCCAGTGTTCTGGTATAGAGCAAACCCTGAGATACAGGCAACCGCTGCAACGATTCTGTGGTGCAAAGACCAACAGATTTGAGGTTAAATCGTCATCAAGACGAACAGGAGGTGGCAGGTCAAGCAGATATAAAGTGGTTGAGAACCAATATTGTCTGTGCACCAGGCTCCTCCAAGGCTAAAGCTGCCTTCCCCTGCAAGTCCCTCTCCAGGGTGACTGGCCTGGACGGCCAGCCGTGTGCTGCCCTCTGCTGGCAGATCAGCCTATTTTCAGCTGGGCTCTCAGTTGATGGCTTCAAGGGGGAAGATGAGGAGCCAATGGGCAGAGGCAGGAAGTGAGCCCAAAGGGAAGAGAGTAGCATTGCACCTCGCACCTTTATTCTGGGGAAGGGGCCAGAGGAGGCTGCACACCTGGGCCAAGATGCCTCTCAGGAACTGTGGGTGAGGGGTAGAGTCGTGTCCTAAAGAGCAAGGGGGAGGGGAACTCCCAGGCTGCTTGCAGGCTGAGCAATCAGTCCACTGATAAGGATGGAGAAGAGGCCAGTGGGGGAGAGAAAGTGAAGGTTGGTCAAGGAGCTGGAGGAAGCAGATAGGAGAGTGGCCACAGAACTACCCCAACAACCAGGGCCAGCTAACCCCCTCAGGGATCCACCACCCCTTCCCCAACTGCTCTGTCAGAGCCAATCTACACCGCACGGGAGCCCAGCAGCCCCAGGTGCAACCCAGAGAAACCACCCTTGGAGGCTATGGAGGAGCCAGGCCAAAGCTGGTGTCTCCTCTCCCCAGAAGGGACAGACAGGCAGCAGAGGGAGGGGGAGGAGGTGCTGAATTCCAATCCCCCCCGTGAACCTGCACTTTGAAATTCAGGGGACGCAAAAGCATGAAACACCCATGGAGGGAAAGCCTGAAGGCATAAAGGGGGAAGAGAAGCAGTGAGTTACAGAGCAAGACTATGTACTCCTGTACTCAAGTCATTCAGAGCTGTTTCGGAGGGAGACTGGGAAGATGGGGGAGAAAAAAAAACACACCTCTTTTTATAAGATTTCATATTTAATTTAGCCATGAATTCATAAATACATAAGTATTTTGTACCTAATGGACTGCCTTGTATTGTTTGATATTGCCGACGAACTCTTCCCAGAGAGAATCTTCCAGCAGGGAGCTGCATGAAATCATACTCAACCATTAAAAAAAGATGAAGTGCATATCACATGTTAGGTGCTATCTGGAATGGATATAAAACAACAAAACTCAACAAATATTTTCATATTCCCATGAAGCTTACTTTCTAGTGAAAGAAATACAATAGACAAGTAAATAAACGAGTAAACGTGACAAACACTGGTGAGGCTAGTAAAGCCAATACTTTAGATGGGCAGTCAAGGAAGTCCTCTAACAATGGGATAAATGAGCTGCAACCTTACTGACAAAAGTACGTGGGTCCATCTAAAGATATGAGGGCAGAGTGTTCTGCTCAGAGGAACAGGAAATGCAAACACAATGAGACAGGAAACATTGTGAGTTCCACATAATGAACTGTGGCCAGCCCATCTGGGTCTCAGAAGTAAAAAGAAAAATATTTTAGCACCAGAGTAACCTCGGGCCTTGCACCTCCCCAAAACTCAGCGAAACAAGAATACCTTAATATGCCTACATTTTCAGGAAATTCTGTTTTTTAGCTCAGTCATACCATCCTCTGGAACAAGACAATACACAGAGCCTTGAGATGAAAAAGACCAACTGCCACCCCCCCAGAATTGCTACCTCAATAAAATTATCCTGCCATACCTGGAACACAATGGAGAAAGGTCTGGCAAAGGAGAACTTAAATAGGTACCAAGGATTTAAAAAAAATACAACAAAACAATAAAAGGTCAAAACTCTAATGTATCAACCATTTCTAGGGTTCATTCTGAGTATTTCAGAATTGGCTGATTATGCGTAACTCTTTTATGTAAAAGTCAGATGCTTACAGAGGGGCTAAGCTCCTCAGGTAGGCAATCCAGACCCCAAACAGCAGCTCGGGGGCTCTGATTCACAGACCATTAGAAGTGAGAAAGATCACTTGGTCCTCAGCAAACATGTAGCACAAATCATGTGTATTGATCACTCTTCTCCTTGTAACCATGCCAGACATCAGGAAAAGATCACCACACCCTCTCTCCTGAGCTGAGACGCGGCTAAAGTTCTCAACATGGCATCCTGCACAGCTACCAACATTCATCAGAAATGACACATGAAAGAAACCCCACTTGTCATCTCGGATCTAACCCTATGTCTCACTCTCCTCAACCCTGGGCACAGATGAGGAAATGGAGGCCCAAGCTGACTGCCCAGCTCAGGGACAAGCCAGAAACATGGGCTTCACATGCATACCACAACTCAACTTCCTGATCACTTATAAACATCTACCTATAAATAAATAATCATATACCTATAAAATTGTCAAGTTTCAAAGATTGGTCTTTAAAAGCAGCCAGGCATCCAGACCTGGCTGGGCTCAAAGCGCATTTGAAGGAAACTGGAACACAATAGTGCAAACATACAGATTAGCGTATATTCCATCCCAAACTTTTTTCTTTCTACTTGTTTTTTGGTTCTCTGCTCTCTTTCAGGTAAACTTAGTAATCAAACTAGTTAAATATCCATTTTTTCCCATGTTCCTATAATACACAAAAATATAAAAACAGAAAGATCCATATCATACGGTATTAAGGAATACTACCACTACAAATTGCCACTGAGTCGATTCCAACTCATGGCGACCTACGTATGTCAGAGTAGAACTGTGCCCCACAGGGTTCTGTTACCTTTCAGAAGCAGATCGCAAGACATTTCTTCTGAGGCTCTTCCGGGTGGGTTAGAACCGCCAACCTTTCAGTTAATAGCTGAGCACTTAACTGTGTCACCCAAGAATACTAGATACAATTAAATGCAAATATAGCAACATACATGGATCTTGCAATATAATAAATATAAGTTAAAAAATTTTTTCTATGATGATGTAAACTGCCATCGGTTGAAAAGAATGAGGTCTTAAAAACAACTGTCATACCCACAGAAACGTACAAGTATACTACAAGTAGAATCATACACTTCTACAGTTTGCTTATCATTGCCAATATTTCATAAAAACTATTGCAAAAGGAGTTCTACAACATTCTAACTGCTGTATGATATCTGATGGCAGAATTTCTTCATGAACTGTTCACATTAAATTTTTGCCTATTTAGTCCAGGCTCAGTCCAAAGTGATTTCAAGAAGCAATTCTTTCATTCCCGTGCACACATCATCGGTTGTCTGCCCTGTCTTCTTCAAAGGTGTAATTTCCGGAGTCCACCAGGTAGTCCTGAATTGTCTCTCTTGCATTTCTTTCTCCTACTGCTTCCAAGGCATCCAGCAGGGTGTTGATGGAGGCAGCCTTCCCTGTCTTGTGGAGCCACTGGACCAGCACCTTGTAGGGCTCTTCTTTGGGGCCCACTGCACTGGCTCTGGCCACGTGGATCTCATTGTCTGTGAGGCCCATCCTCCGCATGACTGCGTTCCAGGAACAAAAGGGCACTACACTTATAAAGTAATCAAAGAATGCCTTTAGAGCTGTGGGAGAATGAAGTCAGAGAGACAGTGACGTTAGATGGGATGTACTTCAGAAAGGGAAGAGAATCCTAAGTCAGGCCTAGGTACCCCAGGGTAGACACTGATGATCCCTCTATTGTGGTCTGCCTGCTGCTCCACGTCCCCCACCTGCTTCCCCATCTGCAGAGGAGAAGGCATTACTGCCTGGCCCTCACCATGTCCAAGGCACCAAGGGACAGTCAAGGTCGACAGAGAGTCCTGCCCTAGGGGAGGGCTGACATCCCACCTGGTGAGGCAGGGTGGGCGTGATGGAGAAAGAAAGTGACCTGTGGAACCAGCCAGAGGAGAGGGACAGACCGTGGGTACAACAGGACCTTGGAGGAGGGACACTGCCTGGCTGCGCTTATCATGAGAGTCAGCTCCCAGGGCTGGAGCTCCTGCCTTACTGGAAAGAACAAGGCCTTGGAGGTATACAAAAGATCTCTGATTTTTACCCCAGCTCAACCTCACTGACACTGGGACAGACCTACAAGGGGTAAATAAACTCTGAGCAACAATTTAATCTGTAAGATGGAGCAAATGAGGGATTAAATGACATGTGTGTGAAATGCACTGACATTGCCATCCAATAGAAATATAAGGAGAGTCATAAATAGAATATCATATTTGCTTATCTGCATTAGGAAAAAAAGGTGACATTAATTTTAGCAGTACATTTTATGTAACTCAATATATACAAAATATTATTTGCACGTTATCATGATACAAAAAAATATTAATGAGATATAATTCATTCATCTTTTACTTAGCACTGCCTGAACAAAGCACTTACTTTCAGTGGGGTCTGCACCATTTGCTGGAACCAGCAGCATCCTTCTCATCTGAGACCCTTCAGCATTTGGATGTCCCTATAAAATACAGTGGAGAATACCCTTGGATCCGAGTCAGAAGCCCTGGATTCTAGAACTGACCCTGACACCCAGCCAGCTGTGTGACCTGGGGCACCCCAGCGCTCCCTCTGGGACTAACTGGGAATGGAGATAAACCTCCCAGTCTCTGTCCTTCACAGGCTGTTTGCTTGAGGTATACATGACATGCAGTGAGGTACATACAACGTATGTGTTCTGTTCCACTTTTGACAACTGTTCACACCTGTGTAACCAACACCCAAATCAAGACATAGAGCATTTCCACCACCCCAGAGAGTTCCCTTCTGCCCTTCTAGTCAGTTCCCACCCAGCCCAACAGAGGACAACCAACCAGGGACTCACAGGCTTTTATGAGACTCAAATAGAATATACATGAGGGCATTTTGGAAAATCTAAAATAAGGTTTATTTCAGAATGCAAGTGTGCTTTGATTAATAATAATGTACCATATCAGTAGTTTCAATAAGAAAATGAAAACATCAGATAACTTCAATGGAGGCTGAAATGACTTTTGGTAAAACTAACCATCAATTCTGATTTTTAAAAAACACCTTAGAATAGGAGGATGTATCCATAATGAAAGCCATTTCTATATCAAAACAGAGCCAACATCATTCTTTGTGGTAAAGCACTATAGGCCTTCCCAGCAAAGTCAAAATAAGACCAAAAGCCTGCCTTCTCTCAGCATGTTGAACATTATTCTGAGAGTGCTGGCTTATGAACAAGACATGAACAAAAATAAGGGGCATGAGTCTTGGAGGGGAACAGACAAAATTAATTAAGTTACAATAAAATACTTGCACTGATGAATATTATCTTCTTCGATAAGAAAAATAGTGAATATTGAAAAGATCTTGATGCTGGCCAGACTAATCTGTATATTCACATGCATGTATATACAGAAGACATATACACAATGATTTTAGCAAAGAATCACATAGTTACTGCAAATAAAAAGCACCAGGGGGCTAGAAACAAATGGGGAGGCTTTCATAATTACTGAGGGCTTTTCTGTGTTATCAAAATTTTCCAACCATGGATATGTATTGAGCTGTTTTTAAAAATGTCAACACTGGTTAATCAGGATGGGGGATTATTGATCTTCTTCTTCATTTAGTGTATCTTCTCAATATTAAAAAAATGTGTTATTGAGGCACAAACGGTAAGGAAACAGAACAGTCTAGGTGGAAAGAGATGATAGTCTGTGTAAACATTTAACATTTGACAAAGAAGGAGCCAAAAGCAGAGGGAAATAGGAAAATCAGTTGCTGAATGGTGTTGTAGAAACGACATAATCGCTGAGAACAATCAAGGTAGCTCTTCATGTCATATCACTAAATAACTTCTGTTGAGATTATGCTAAAAATCACATTGTTAATTAAAAAAAAAAAACCTAAGAAATTAGAGAAGTTCATCTTATCTTTTGTCAGAGAAAGACTTTCTAAACTTATGAGCAATGAAGGAATAAATACATGAAGAGATTTAACTACTGAAAATGTAAAACTTCTGTGCATTAAAATATCAGAGAAAACGGAAAGGCAAACAAGAAATTAGGAATCTCTTTTCTGTACGAGAAAATGCCTGCCCAGAGGAGCATGTCTCCACAGAAAGACGCTGACAGACAAGACAGAAACCATAGACAGTCAATTAAAGAAACAGAGATTCACACAGCTAGTAAATAAATATGCAACACAGAGTGAAAACAAAGAAATGTAAAATGTTTCCCACTCAGCAAAAATGAAGGAAAAAAACCACCCAATGTAAGATCAAAGCTGATGAACTGTGATGAACTGAACGGTGGATGAATGTGTGTGTGTAGTAAAAAAAGTACTTCTCCATGTTACCCAGAAATTCCACTTCTTTTAAGAAGTCACCTATCAACATGATCAGTGATCTGGACAAAGATTCATTTTCAAATATGTTCAATGTAATAATTTTGAAGTAAATTAAAAATTCCTAATGATATAAGGATGGCTTACTACATCCGTTTCAACCACACAGTAGAATACTGTGTAGCTCTTATTTGGTCATTCAATGCATGTCAGAGTGCCCACTGCTTTAGCTCTGGGGAAATAGTGAGAACAAGACAGACGATAAAAATATACTATGCTACATCAGCATGAGCAGGCTCGCCCCCTACATGCAGCCCCTTTCCCTCAGGTCCCTGGTCTCTCCGATGTCACTACTTCCTTGTGCCCCAGGAGAGCTGACTGGACACTACCTCCCCTCTTTCTACCAAGACTACTGGGCTAGCAGGAAGGGCCAGGGCCAGGCACGGTGTCACCCACTCACCAGGAGAGGCTGTGCATCCACTGGGGTCTGTCTCATGGCACCTGTTACCCCAGCCTGCTCCTCCTGGCCTTCCCTTTCCAGCTCAGGGTCCAGCCTGGGCTGTGATTCCCTGTTGCTCAGGGCCTCGTTGTGAGCATTGTCATGAGCCTCAGGCCCTTTTCTGGAGCACGGCTGCCCGAACAAGACCTAGGGAAGACAAAGAACCCCACTCAGGGGTGCACACCCAAGGCCCCTGCAGGGACCCATAGGGAGAGTTGTCCTGCCTTCCCCACCCTTCTCAAGGATGTCATCCTGGGTGGGTACACAGCTCAGCAGATCCAGGCTCTGCTGCTGCACCAGGACCCAGAAGGCAAGTTCACCATCTGACTGACACACCCTGTTCCCCTCCCCCATCCCCCGTAGGTGTTCTTGACGCTGTCTCCCGAACAGCTGAAGGTCAGGACTCCAGCACCACAGCTGGCCTGTGGGGAACGGCTTGGGCCACCTTCCACCTTACAGTCAGCCCAGAACCACCAGGCAACACTGGAGAGCTGGGGGTGGGGGGAGCACAGGACACATCAGGGAGCTGATCCACCCTGCTGGGACTTTGTGTGGGTGGGGAAGCAGCTCCTGAGAGCTGATGCCCCCAGCAAATGAACACACCAACTTACTCTGTTAACGAATTTGGAGACCACTCCACAACCTGGAAAAAAAGGAACGTCTCCTTTAGCAAGTGGGGAGGGAGGGCCTATCTTTGTAGCTCCAGCCTTCACCCAGGGCAGGGCCAGCTGGCAGCGCATCTACTGGGAACTCTGACTCTGAACCAAGAGCCCTGGGCTGGCTGACTCAGGGGTGCCAGGAGGCCAGGGATAGTCTGTTTCCAACTCTGGGGCACCTCAGGGAGGCAGGCAGAGGTGGGACAACAATAAAGTCACCTCACCAAGAACCTACGGTTCCTCTGGCCTCGTCTGAAGAAAAGGATCCCCTACTGAATTTAGCCAGGGAGGTTGGGGGACCATCAGATGAGGGGGCTGGATGTGAATCCAGGCCCTACATGATCCCAGGCAGATGAGGGCAAGATGAGGTGATCGGCAGAGAGTGACCCAGCACCCACCCACTCCTTCTCTCGTACCCATCTTCACCTTGAATAATGCGCCTCCGAAGAAGCACCAACATAACCATTACGATCCAGAGCCCAATCCCAAGCCCGATCCAGATCCTGATCCAGATCTCAAGGTTTCCAAAGCCTGAGGAAGGAGAGGCAGTAGTGGGAGTCTTCGGGCCACTGGCCACTGGCTCTCCAGAAACTGTAGCTTCTCCAGTGGCTTTGGTACCTGCTTCTCTGGGGACACACTTCAAGTTACTCCAGGGGGTACAGGGACTGTCCTGAACCATCCCATCAGGGCACCTAAGAACAGACACAGGGAGAAATGAAGGGGTCTGTGAGCGAGGGCACGTAAGATAAGAAGAAAGAGTAATGCTCCCTCCCCAGTGTCCCCAGACAAGATGTTAGAGAAGAGCCTGGCTCTCAAGTTTCCAGGGGTGAGGCCCCCCGCTCTCCCTGTTGGGCTGGGAAAAGGAGCCGAGCATCCGCAGTTCAGCCCTTGGGGCTCCCCGCACAGTTCTCAGAGCCACCTGGCTCAGGCCGCACCTTGTCTGCAAGGCCACTGGGTGAATTTCCCCCCCACCCCCAGCAGCGAGGGGGCACCACAGCGTCGGGGGCTGGGGGCAGGTTTCACTCCAGGTGCAGCTTCAAGAGGGCCATTGGGCCACAAGCTGAGCCACCTCCTCCAGTCAACGTTTCCTCACTAATAGCACTAACCTTTCACCCTCCCCTGGCTGACTGGCTCCTACCTCCACTGTAGCAGTCATTAGAGGGTAAGAGAAAAGAAAGTCTTGGCGCCTAACACTCCAGAATATGGAAAAGACAGGAGTTATAAAGCAAACAAGGGCCCTGGTGGTACAGTGGTTAAGAGCTTGGCTGCTAACTAAAAGGTCAGCAGTTCAAATCCACCAGCCTCTCCTTGGAAACCCTATGTGGGCAGTTCTACTCTGTCCTATAGGGTCTCTCTGAGTTGAAACTGATGCTGCAGCAAAGGGTTTTTTGGTATGGAGGGAACGGGCCAAGGGTGAGGCAGGTTGAGTCAGCTCAGGACTTTACGTGAAGCCTGAAGGAGTGAAATGCGATTCACCATGAATTTCTGGGGCCTTAGGTACTTCTGTCCTCATGGATCCCTTTCTCCTACTGGCATAACTAGGGTTGCTGTCCCCCAGTGCAGTAACTGATGGTGTCACCCCCCCATGCTAATTACCACAATTTTGTAGCTAAAACACCAGAAAATTTGACAAAATCAGCGACTATAAAAACACCCGCAGCAAGGAAAACAACAGTGCCTGCTTGGAGCACCTGCAGAGGAAACCATATGATTCGAAGTGTGACTGTAACGAGAAAGGTTAAAAAGTAAATTAGCCCCTCTGACTTGGAACTGCAGCCATTCCCAGAAACCACGTTCTAGCCAAGCAATAGACAGACCTATAAAATAACACCTGAAAAGAACGTGTTCGTAGAACAGACAATTATGAGACCAAAAGGGAAAACCTTTGCCCAAAAGTAAAGATGAGAAGGCAGACAGAGGTAGGAAAACCAGGCCAGAGGAACCCGGGGGGAGAGTGTTGACACAGCGTGGGGATTGCAACCAATGTCATGGAACACTTTGTGTACAATTCACTGAATGGGAAATTGCTCTGTAAACTTTCACCTAAAACACACTAAAATATATTGTTTTTTAAAAAAGGAAAATAGCATAGAATTTTAGCCTTGTAGACATATTAATACATGCAAGCTAGGCCTACAAAAAGTTTTTTTTGTTGTTATAATCAACTACAGGGATATTTTTGTAAAAAATAAGAAATTTCTGCTCAGACACGGCACAAAAATTTTATAGACAGTCATTTTGGTGTCACGCCCTCTGGAAGTGTCATTCAGTACGGTCCACACCTCCGCATCCCTCTAGTGACACTAGTGCATTCTCCGTGAAAATAGTCAAACTTACATTTTATAACTGCATTTGTATAAGGATGACTATAATTCAGGATTGATTCTATTCAATTATTCTCATTTTAAATGAAATTAAAGAATTCGCTTAGGCCTGAAAGCATCGTGGGCCCTGAGAACTGACCCATGTGCCCAGTGGAAAGCTGGCCTGGCTCAGTGGAAAGAGTGCTAAGGGGTGTGGGAAGGGGTGGTGGCAAGGACAGTGGTGGGTCATGCAGCTGGATGAGGAGGGATTGTGCAGGCTCAGAAGACTCATGGGCCCAGGGAAGACCAGAGGGATTTAGAGGGGGCTTGACTGAAGAAGGGGAGAGAATGGGGTGCAAGGAAACCTCAGGTCTTCTGTTGGCTCACTTGAGCTGGTGGGAGTCCCTTGGCCCCACGTCTTACCCGGGGCTGCACTTCTGGCAGATCTCAGGGGCATCGCTTCCAAGGAAAGTACCAGCTTTGCATCGACAGGCCGTGTCTCTGGTGAGGATGCACGGACTTATCTCATCTTCATCTGGAGACAAAGGATAAGGATTTACAGATGTGTTTCCTTGACTTCCCCTCAACTCCCAAACCCTTTCCCACTCAGCTCAACTCAGTTCACCAATAGATTTCAGGGCCAGTTTCTGCAGCAACAGACAGGGGCAAATGAAATACAGCCACTGCTAAATGGTCGGCAGAGTCATAAAAAAGAGTGGAACACGAGTCATTATTTAATGTATGAAATTTGGGAGGAAAAATCTTTTGGATCGTATGGTCAATAGCAACGGGTGGGGTAATAATTGAGAGACCCTGGATGGAGAGGAACTCTTGGGTGGATTCTCAAAAAAACCTGGCCCTGCTAAGAGAGGCAAGAGGGGCTTTAGAAAGTCACGGCTGAGAGGCTGAGTACCTGACCAAGAGCAGACACAGAGCTAAGAGGGTGCTGGTCCAGGACCAGACCCGTGTCAGCAGCTTCAAATGAGCACTTTGCCCCTGACACACCTTTCCTTATGAGGTAACTATATTGTCCTCCCCAACAAGGAATGGATTATTAGTCCACCTTTTCCTGCTGGTGGTTTAAAAGATTTTCCCTACCAAATGGCATGATTTATATAACTAATTTCTCCTTGTTTTATTTTAGTGACTCAAAGACATAATCATGTTTCAGGGTATAGGAAAGACTAAGCTGGGACTGGAACCCAGGTTTCCTGATTCCACATCAGCTATGATTCCCACTTTCTCACCCTGCATCCCACTTCTGGGCCCCAAGTCCGTCATGTTCTGTACCTGGTTTACAAACCGTACACGGTAAGCAAGAAGGTAAGTCGTTGGAATGGTTGGTATAATCCACTCCATATGAGCATAGGATACAATCTCCAGTAGTTAATAACATGTGATAGCCTGGGAAGGGAGAGAAAAGCTGGTGAATGAATGTTCACAGGGTTCCCGAAGGCTGGGCAGTGGTCAGCGGAGAGATCCTCTTTGGGTCTGTGGTGGAATCTAAACAGGGAAATCGTACTCCACCCGGCCTTGGTCAGCTTCATTGTTTCTACATCTCCTACATGCCTTCAGCCATCAGTGGCCAGTAGAAATATTATACAGTCACACGTGAAGTTTAATTTTATAGTAGCTACATTAAAAGAGTAAAAAGAAACTGGTCAATTTTATTTATTTTCATATCAAGAATGGATTTTAATGTCTCTCAAGGTGAAAATCTATGTTGAACATGCAAATCACTGACATCAAATGCATCAGAAAATACTGTTAGCTTGACCTTCAGGATAAATCCAGAATCAGGCCACTTCTTACCACCCCCACTGCTACCATTCTGGTCTGAGCTACCATCTCCTCTTGCAATCACTTTCTAGTTGGTCTCCCTGATTCCAACTGATTCCTTTCAGCCTCTTCTCAATGCAGACCCATCTTTCAAAACATATGGTAGATGAAATTATTTCTCTGCTCAAAACTTCCTGACTGAAGTCACTCACTTCCATGCCACTCAGAGTAAAAGTCAAAGTCTTATAATGGCTTCTAAGGTCTCACATGATCTGCTCACTACTTCAACCCCGTTCTCTCTCTTCCTTTTCCTACCAGTTTCCATCCAGCTACTCTGGCCTTCTTGTTCACCTAATGAGTCAGGAACATTTTAGAACAAGTTGTTTCTTCTGTCTGAATACGTTTTCTTTACAAGGCTATATTAGTTTCTTAGGGCTGCCATAACAAAGTACCACAAGCTGGGTGGCTTACAACAACAGAAACGTATTCTACTACAGTTCTGAAGGATGGAAGTCTGAAATCCATGAGTCAGCAGAATTGGTTTCTTCTGGGGGCTCTGAGGGAAGGCCTGCTTCATGCCTCTCTCCTACCTTCTGATGGGTGCTGGCAATCTGTGGCATTCCCTGACTTGTAGATGCATCACTCTAATCTCTGTCTCTGTCTTCACATGATGTTCTCCCCTGTATGTCTCTATGTACAAATTTCCTCTTCTTACAGTCAAGTTAATTTTAATAATGCATTTTATTTAACCCAATATATAAAAAAGAATATAACTTTAACACATAATCAATATAAAAAATTAGGAATTTTATATCACTTTTATAGTTAAGTCTTTAATTCCATTGTGTATTTTTAACTTACAGCACATATCAGATTAGCCATATTGCAACTGCTCAATAGCCACACATGCCTACTGACTATGATGTTGGACTGCGCTGCCTTTGACACTGGAAACTCACAGAAGAAAGTTATAAACCCTGTCCTCACTGAGCTCACAGTCAGTGGAAGACATAAACAAGAGAAGAGGTAATGAAACAATGATGGAAAAGCCTTCAGTCAAAGCTTAGGCCATCTGCCCATGGAGGACAGTAGAAGGAAAAATGGGTCCTTCCTGTAGGGAGTCAAAGATGATCCAAAGAAGGTAACTCAAAGCTGGTCCTGAAAGAAGAAGCCTTCTCCAGCCATGAGCTGCAGTGCAAAGGAGTTGTCCCTCCGGTACACGTGTCTCTAGACTCAACCTTTGCTCCTTCATGTAATCTCCCTCTATCTTGCAGGACCAGCCTCTCTCTCTCTCCAGTTTCATTTTTATCAATATGGAAAGGTACTCTAAACAACGGAACTTTAAAAAAACTTTCCTTTATTAACATATTATGAAGGCACTTCATGTCAATGGTATGTTGTCGTTGTTGTTAGGTGCTGTCCAGTCGATTCTGCCTCATAGTGACCCTATGTACTACAGAAGGATACACTGCCCGGTCCTGTGCCATCCTCACAATTGCTATGCTTGAGCTCACTGTTGCAGCCACTGTGTCAATCCATCTCATTGAGGGTGTTCCTCTTTTTCAGTGATGCTGTACTTTGCCAAGCATGATGTCCTTCTCCAGGGACTGATCCCTCCTGAAAACATGTCCAAAGTATGTAAGACGTAGTCTCGCCATCCTTGCTTCTAAGGACCATTCTGGTTGTACTTCTTTCAAGACAGATTTGTTCGTTCTTTTGGCAGTCCATGGTATATTCAATATTCGTTGCCAACACCACAATTCAAAGGTGTCAGTTCTTCTTCGGTCTTCCTTATTCATTGTCCAGCTTTCACATGCATATGAGGTGATTAAAAATACCATGGCTTGGGTCAGGCGCATCTTAGTCTTCAGGGTGACATCTTTGCTTTTCAACACTTTAAAGAAGTCTTTTGCAGCAGATTTGCCCAATGCAATGTGTCTTTTGATTTCTTGACTGATGCTTCCATGGGTGTCAAAGGTATAAATGTGATTAATCAATAAATGGTTCTGGGGCAACTAAAGAGACTACTAAGAAAGTCATAGGGTTTCTCCCTGGATTCATTTTTCTATTGTGGTAAAATATATATAACATATAAGCTGCCATTTTAACCATTTTAGAATGTATAACTCAGTGGAATTAATTACATTCATAATGCTGTGTACCTATCATGACTATCTATTTCCAATATATTTTTATCATCCCAAGTAAAAACTCTGTACCCGGTAAGCAATAACAGCCCTTTCCCCTCTGTACCCAGCCCCTGGTAACCTCTAATCTAACTTTCTGTCTGCATGACTTTGCTTATTCTAGATACTTCATATAAGGGAAATCATATATTTGCCTTTTTTATCTCGTTTATTTCACTTAGTATAACCATTTCAAAGTTCATCCGTGGTATATCATGTATCAGAACTTCATTCTTTTTGAGAGCTGAATAATATTCCTTTGTATGTATTTACCACATTGTTTTCCCCCCATGCATCTGTTGGTGTACACTTGGATTATCTCCACTTTTGGTTATTGTAAATAATGCTGCAATCAACACTGGGTACCAGTATCTCCTTGAGCTCTGTTTTCAATTCTTTTGGGTATATACCTAGGAGTGGAATTTCTGGGTCATATGATAATTCTATTTTGAACTTTTTGAAAAACTGCCAAACTGTTTTCCCAAGCAGCTGTACCATTTAACATTCTCATGAGTCATGTACAAGGGTTTTGATTTCTCTACATTCTCACCACTAGTTTTTATTTTTCTTGATTATAACCATCCTAGTGCATGTGAAGTGGTATATCGTTCTGGATTTGATTTACATATCCCTAATGACAAATGATGTTGAGTTTCTTTCCACATGCATATTGGCCATTTGTATATCTTATTTGGAAAAATGTCTATTCAGATCCTTTGCCCATTTTTTAATTTGGTTGTTTGTCTCTTTGTTGCTGAGTTGTAGGAGTTCTTTAAATATTCTGGATAGTAAACCCTTTTCAGGTAAATGATTGGCAAATATTTCCTCCCATTCTGTGGGTTTTTCTTTTCCCTCTCTTGATAACGTCCTCTAATGCACAAAGGATTTTAATTTTAATGAAAAATAATTCATGCATTTTTTCTTTTATTGCTGTGCTATTACTGCCATACTTAATAAACCTTTCACAAATCCAAAGTCATGAACATTTACCCGTTTTTCTCTAAGAGTTTAATAGTTTTAGCTCTTAAATTTAGGTCTTTGATCCATTTTGAGTTAATTTTCACATATGACATAAGATAAAGGTCCAATTTCATTCTTTTGTATGTGGAAATACAGTTTTCCCATCATAATTTGTTGAAGAGAGTGTTCATTCCTTGTTAAATGGTCTTGTACCTTTGTCAAAAACCAATGGACTATAGATGTGAAGGTTTATTTCTGGGCTTAAAATTCTATTCATTGGTCTATATGTCTATATTTATGCAACTGCTATACTGTTCTGATGAGGGTAGCTTGTAGTAAATTTTGAAACTGAGAAGTGTGAAGCCTCCAGCTTTGTTCTTTTTCAAGGTTGTTTTGGCTATTCTGGATTCCTTGAAATTCCATACGAATTTTAGGATAGGTTCCTGTCACAGCGGCAATGGTTGTCGGGGCAGCGGAGACAGTAACCAATGCCACAACTCTTACAGAGAAGTGGGGCCAGGAGGGTCACTCTGAGGAGTCGAACCCCGGCTTCAGTCCCAGGAGTTTATTTTATAGTCAATACAGCAAGCAATGAAGCAAATAACAGAACAATGGGCTTTGGGTGAATAACAATAAGTTTCGGACAAGGGAGGAGGAATTCAGGTAAACAAGCCAATCAGTAACGGGTTTGGAAAAACAAGTCGTGACAAGTCTCAACATGTTGGGGACAAGTCTCAACATGTTGTGCAGCATAGAGACCTTTATACATCCATATTTTAATGGCACATATCCCCATAGGTTCCTGATTCCTGTAAAAAAATGCCATTGGGATTTCAATAGGGATTGCATTGAATTTATACATTGCTTTGGGTAGTATTGTCATCTAAAAAAATACTGTTTTCTGCTTGCAAACTGCCATCCAAGGTACAACAATTGGTCTCTACTTGCCTGGAGCAACAGAGGAAGAAGGAGAGTCAGGAATAGGAGGAGGTAATGGAGCCCTGGTGGTGCAGTGGTTAAGAGCTTGGCTGCTAACTAAAGGGTCAGCAATTCGAATCCACCAGCCACTCCTTGGAAACCCTACGGAGCAGTTCTATTCTGTCCTATAGGGTTGCTATGAGTTGGAATTGATTTGATGGCAGTGGGTTTGGTTTTTGGTTTTTTTAATGGAATGTGTGGCTAATTGTTCCCTGAACAACTGTCTCCTTTGCCATGAGACCAAAAGAACTGGATGATGCCAGCTGCAATTACTGAATGCTTTGATCAAAGATTCTATACAAGAGTCCTTATCAAAAGGGGAAAATGCGGAAGAGAATTTCAAATTCTTATGAGGTTGAATGAAGCCCGGAAATTATTACCCTGAGATAATCTTCAAATCTTAAACCAAAAATAGCCCATGAAGTCTTCTTTTTTTGAAGTCTTCTTTAAATCAAACAGTAGGTTAGTCTGATTAGTAAAGAATGTTTGCCTTGAACATTA